AGTTAGGTGGATGAACTTAACGAAGGAACGAAGGAAAGTCCGTCTGCACGCAGGCTACGTTAGGTCATGACATAATGCTGTTTACAATTCGTGTAAGACGCACAATGATCAAGTTTTGAATTACAAAGTCGAACGTTTTCACGTTTTTTTTTTCAAGGAGCTCTAATGATTTGTTCGCATAAAATTACTGAAGAGTATCTGCCTCATACCTTCAGCAGGAACCAAACTTCCTCAGAGAGCTTTCCTTAATTCAAACAAAACTGAGTACTTTAGAAGCTTTTAACCCCTGATTGGTACATAAGAAAAAATACTTGCTTTAAAGGATACACTTACTGATTGCTCTCATAATAATTGAGACGGCTGCCATTTTAACGTTTTAACTAAAGGAACAATGAACAATGGAATCTGGCTCAGAAGGGGACCAAACTTACTTTCTGAACCGTTCGGATGGAAATTACGGCTCCTCTCTAACACCCATCACCCTATTTTGGAACAAAAACTACTATTCATTCAAAAACCCGATCAAGCTTGGCCCAGAAATTGACAGGAACCCGCAAAATAGCAGTAGGAAGCAACTAGTTTATCAGCTGAAGAAAAAGGACTAGTTTGTGCTGGAAAGATACTCCTTACTTTGGCGTGCCGAGATGCCGAGTGAACGTTTTCTTAGAGTTCTTTAAAAGGGTATTCTTTTCGCTATAAACTACTAGTAAATTAGACCCTTTCTTTACCTGTAAATTTTTTCAACAATCTGTCTCGCGTGAACTACTCAAGGATGCTAATTGGCAACAATTACTCAAAAGATAACGTTTTGTCCGACAGTCACCTGATATCTCCACAGACTAAATTATCCAAAATCGTCGATCGTGCATGTAAAGGATTGTGTTTTGAGTGTAAGAGATATAAGAAACAAAATTGTACGATGGTCGGACGAAATTGCCACGAAAAAAAAGCTATGGCGATTCTACTAGAAGATAATACTTTCACGATCTTATCAATTTCTACTGTCTTGGTACCATACTCTATCGAAAAAAAACTTTGCACCTGAAATCTAGTATAATTCCTTGATGTAAAACTCATAAATGCAGAGTTCTGAATGACAGATTGTGAGCATAAGACAAAACGAACAATTTGAACCAATAAATGAGACAGGCTGAGCATGGGAAACAACGGTTCAAAAACAGTTCAAGACTTTTAATTAAAATTATGGGAAGGCTGCGGTTTGCACGAACACCTAGGGTGAAAATTCTATGGACCGGTTATTAAACCAAAGTTTAACCTTATTCATCGCAAACCCGTTCTCAACACTCTTACACCAGGCTTAAAATATTACCTAAACCTTAAACTTTGGCAAAACTGTCTGAAGGGCTTATATTTAGCGCTAAAGGGAAGACCTAGTTGTTTTCAAAACATCCACACTGAGGAACGTTGAGGTCCACTGATCAGCCACATAGCGGCCTATGATTAGTCTCGCTAATTGTCCACAATATTAAATTTTACATAAGGAACAAAAGGCAATTAAGTTTATAAACGGAAGATTCCTTTGACTTTAAATAGAGGCTTACCTCGGTTACACTTTTCAAAAATTCCGACAAATGACTTCTCTGAGCACTTGGAAATCATATCCGTCACACTCACACACATGATTAGTTCACAATTCGCAACTTAACACTCGCATTGTTACTCACGGATGACGTCATCCTCAACAGTCACCTGACCTTGGGGCTCGCAAGTTTAAAGTGACCCATCGTCTAGGAAATTTCATTTTTGCATACGACTCTCACATAGTGTAAATGTTTTGGCCGACAATGGTTTAAAT